TGTATAAGGACAGACAGGAAAGCAACGTTGTTTAATAATAAGTAGTGGAGCTCACCTGTTTTAGCATACACATAGCGAAATCAACATGGGTGTCTCTCTCATGCACTTCGTCTAGTATGATGTGGCTGTAGTCCGACAGCGCTTGGTTGACCTCCAAGTCCACCAGAAGAACACCGGTGGTGCAAAACATTATGCTCCCACGTGGTCTGCAGTCAACCCTGAAAAGTTAATGATTAAATTTGAAATGTAGGATTCATTTTTATCATAATTATGGAAATTGATAAACTTAGGCCAATAGGCGGGCAAGGATGCACACTGCGATAAATTTTTCTCAATGATTGTAGATGTCAAAATGTATATGCTTATCGCATATATCGATAATGTCTCGATAAAAGTCGCACATCGTAAGCTTATAGGTCATGTAGGCTAGCATAAGCACACAAGCAAAAATACAAAATCAAAGAAATATAATTTTCTAAAATTCGCACTAGCCACAATTGAGCATCGGTTTGTAACATAACCATTATAACTACTGTATTACAGTGTTTTTGGCAGCGTTGCCAGTTTTTTTTTTCGCCAAGTCGTGACTTTGGTACTTTTTGAGTGAAAATAGCGGGATTCTTCCGTCAGAAGCGGAACATAGTAAAAAAACGTATAATATGTATAATCAAGGTTTTCAAATATTCGTCTTATTTGACATAAAATTACGTTTACGTGACAATAGATAGCAAAATTAGCCATAGAAAATGTATTTTAACAAAAAAATATATTTTTAAATCAGATTTACTCTATCGTTTAATTCGTCTTTAGAATAAAAAAAGAAAAAAATAACAAAAATCGAAATTAAAAAAGTTTTATTCTTTAGAATAATATGGCGTTTCAAACAATAGTCAGTGCCCCGATTACGCTAATTTTAACGTCTCCAATACAGACGCGCTTCTTCGATTCTGCGATACGGATTGGTCAAAACAGTTGACGTCAGCTGTTTTGATAATCGGGGCTCTGGTGAAGTGAGTGTCTCTCTCCGAAAAGCGGGACCGAGCCTGTCCCGCGCGGGACATTTAAATTTGATTAAAAAATCGGGACGTCCCGCCAAAATCGGGACGTCTGGCAACGCTGGTTTTTGGTTGATTATTAACTTACTTTTCCAATCGCACAGCATATCCTACGGAAACCCCAAGAGCTTCAGCACGTTCTTGGGCCACTCGACTAGCTAATGACGACGCAGCAATCCTTCTTGGCTGAGTGACTAGAATCTTTACATTGCCGCCCCTTTTCTTCATAATAGCATCATCTAAAATCATTTGTGGTACCTAAAACAAAAGTTAAATTCAATTAAAAGTTAATTGTTCTTTCTATATTAAGACATATTTTACCAAAATCCTGTCTGTATCGAAAAAGACGGGACGGGAAGACAGCTCCACATACCCATGTAATTTTAAGCATACAGCCTAACAGTAGATTCCCAAACATGACCTGCTTGGACTAATATACTTTGGTTCACTATAGCCCTGTTTAAAAAATATTTTTTGACGCCAAATAGTAAACCAACCTGTGTTGATTTCCCACATCCAGTTTCTCCACTTATGACAATCACCTGGTTATTTTTAACCATTTCTAAAACACGCTGAGTTTTCTTATAAGCTGGCAATTTTTCACGGAAAGTCAACAGTTTTTTGTAGTGTGATTTTGATAAAGCGTTTAGATGTTCTTCATACAGAACGAGATTTAAAGTTGCAATATCTTCATCTTGTCTAGTGATGTTTATGCCTCTGGCCAGACATTCATTGAGTTTTTCCTTAAACGTTCCAGTAATTATGTCTTTGTATCCATATTTAAAATCTGCTGGTGCTCTTAGACTCAACACTCTTTCGTCAAAATCTTTTCTGTCTGTATCGCTAGCTTCATCAAGTGCAAATGGTATATCATCAACTGAAGTACTTGGTGTAGAATCACTATCAAAATAATAATTTGTGTTAATTTTTGTTTTTACCGACGTTTTGGAATCAACATCGCTTCTTTGACTTGTATGAGCTTCAGGTGCAGCGATTGCTTGACTAGATTTTGGCACTTCAGAGTCTTTTTTATCTGACGAAATGTTTGATAAAGAAGCTTTTTGACTGAACAAATGAGATATCTTTTCAGGGAATATATCAATTTTTTGTTGAGCTGCTAACTTAGTGATAAGTTGTATATTGCTTATTAACTTAGCAATTACAGAACTTGGGATGGATAAATTTATCTGGAATGCAAAAAATACAATTAAAGAGCGTTCATAGCTATAACATTGGTAAATAATAAAAGTAATATAACTTATCGCACGTACCGTTAGAGGTGTATTTTTATTTCGCCTAGCTTGTTGTCTCTTGTAAAAAAGGCCAATATCTTTCCCTTTCAATCGATGTGGATGTCTGGCTACGGGTTGTATGAATTTTGAACTACCCCAACCTTTATCCTTCCTATACCTTTTACCACGATCACCGCGATCAGACATTTTTTAGATTATTTATATTTTGAGTCCTTACTCAACCACGCAATTTAATTTATAGGAAAAGTAAGTAAAACGAGCACTTGAGCCACAGATGAGAGAGTATTATAATTTATAACTTGAGCAGGCCAGCCGGTAAATAAATACACTTACGAATACGACGACTTACGAGCAAAAATAGTAAAAAAAGCTACTAAATGTCAAAAAACTGCGCTGAGTGTTGTCCCTGTGTTCAAGTGAGCTTATATCGATGAATGCTGTGTTTCAATAGTCATAAGTCGCGAATGTCGCAAAAAATGCTCTCTTTGATAGATATACAGTTTAAGGGCGCGGTAATATAATATGATCAATTTTATCGACAAATCCAATGGAATAAAACATTTTATCCCTACTTTTAAAAAATTGCAGGTACTTGAATTTTTTGGGTTTCTGAGTCCGGGACTCCGGGTGGATTTATTTATTTAGCAATATCTACCGATGTACAGGGCCTATAAGCATAAAAGTGAATTTATTCTACATTCACATTTAAAGCTTTAATTCAAGTAAAAAAAACGGCGTATTCCGCTATTCCCCATTGACAATCCCCGTCAACGGGGAATAGTGAACTTTTTGTTCACTTATCCCCGTTAACGCCAATTGGAGCTTACAATGGGGAATAATGAACTAACAAGTTCATTAATCCCCGTTATATTAGGATTTTATTTTTAACGTAATGGGGATAAATGAACTTTTTAGTTCATTGTTCCCCATTATAAGTTTTATAAGCCCCAATTGGCGTTAACGGGGATTAGTGAACAAAAAGTTCACTATTCCCCGTTGACGGGGATTGTCAACGGGGAATAGTGGAATAAGCCAAAAAAAATGGTCGAAGTTACTGAAAAATCGTTTTGAAATTTTCACTTCCGGTTTACTATTTGTAAAAAAATCTAATTTAGAAAACGACAAAGAATTTAAAACTTCACATTTTTACTTTTAGAATCAATGCTTTTTAGTTTTTTTCATAAATTCATTGATAGAAATAATAAGCATCCAAAAAATCATGATTTCATTCTAAGTAATTTTTTAAAAGCTCAAGACTTAGCAATAAAGCATCACACGAAAAAAATATTGCGTGTATACAGGGTGTTAGGTAAATGGGTATAAATTAAAAAAAAACGATTTGTATGAAAATTAAAATAATTAAAATGAAGATATCGATTTTCTGACTTCACCGTACCATTTATATGCCCATGTTAACATGGGCTAGTGTTGGCTCATAAAGCCATTTACCTAACACCCTGTACACATCCACGTGTACTAGAAATAACTGACCAGAGCCCCGATTACGGTAACTTTTAACGTCTACAATCCAGACGCGTTTCTGATTCTGCAATACGATTGGTCAAAACAGCTGACGTACGCTGTTGAACGACCAATCGTATCGCAGAATCGAGAAGCGTGTCTGGATTGTTGACGTTAAAAATTACCGTAATCGGGGCTCAGAAAATAAACAAAATTGACGACTTCACTTTTTTAATTGGTTGTCCGCTTGACGTGAAATGCCCCGTTTAGATCATTTTCATTAATTTAACCCTAGTAAGAGAGAATCAACTTGAGTAAACTCGAGCTAAGGCCAACTTAACTTTATTTACAATAAACAGATTTTTTTAAACTAAGGCAAACTTAACTCTACACAAACTTGACTCGAGTTATACATTGAGTTGATACATCACTACACTATTTCTAACTTGACATTGACAGTTGTTTTGACTTGACACTGACAGACAGTCAGTCAGTCAGTGGTCGATGGTGGGCACAGATATGGATTAGAGTAGATACAGCAAGTTGATCGTCAAAGCGTGCCATTCCGATATGTCCAAATGGACATACATGGTCGAGTGATGTTCATGTAATCCGATTACAACAATCGGTTACGATGATTTTACGAGGACAGTAGTACGAACACGGTAGAAAGAAGAAATTATTTACGGATTGAGAATTGTAATTAACAGCACAAGTAACAAATAATTAATTAGAATAAAGTAGCAGTAGAAGAAGTATAAAGTAGCATTGTTTTTAATACATAATATCCTGCGATGTATTAAGAGTTAAAACCATGGTCCGTGTATGTGATGCACTCATACCGATCACAAGAAACCGTACTTACTTTTATAACTATAAGACACACACTGATCTATGTATTCATGCACTTGACCAATTTTTGTCTTGAAACGCTGGTAGGGTAAAAAAAATAACGTGATTTGACGATTTGTAAGAATTAATTTATTTAAAGAGGTAAATAAAGATGTTTTTGGTTTTGTATTTAACAAATTATCAGTTTTATCGGAATTAATTAATTGTCGAATCGAGTCACACGATATCTTTCGATGACTGCGAATGCAGTACGATGACACGATTATTTTTACGTTGCGGCAATCACTAAAATTCGCTAAAATGACACTAATGACGTTTAAAAAGTGGCACGCTCGGCTTCATACAAATTTTTTCACATGCTGCATCTATCTATATCTGTGATGGTGGGTCAATTTCTGTGAACGAGACCTCAAAAAATACGAAAACAAAGGATAATTTAATTTAAAACAGTACAATAAATCTATTGTTAATTTGAATTATGTTTTTAAGAAAAGTAAGTACTCATCAAAAATTTATCTCATTTCGATGTAAAATGTTATTTCATAAATTGTTAGGATTCCAGTTTTGCGAAAGCTCTAATTATTTCTTCAATAATTTAATTGAAGCGGTTGTAAAAGTTTTTCCTAAATTAACTATTGTATTTTTAATTTACAGGATTACTGGTCATTAGTATGTCGAGGTCGAAAGAAAAAGATCATTACTTTGATTGTTATCTTATTGTTTTTAATTAATTCAATGCTGTATGTTAGTTTAGAGTTGTATAATACAGTCAAACGAAAACACAAGGACCCTTGGTACAAAAGGTTAGTGTTATAAAAGTTATTAATGTTTATCTTTAGCATAGAGTGTAAACCTGCCAGTGCTATAGTATTTAGCAGGCTTACATTTTAAGCCAATGTTATGAATTCTTGTATTTAGAAATAACATTAAATCTAATTGTTATGTATTACAGTTTACATTTCGATGAGAATTCCTATGTGGATAAGAATGGAATGAGGGTTGTCGTTGGGCATTACGTTGGTGGAAACAGAGGGGGTAACTTGTCTGAAGGTAAGTTTAATTAATTCTCACATAGCTTGATCTTATTCATTTCTGGAGTTTTACCCTTGTAAATGTAGAATCAACCATGGTGGAAAAAGAACAGTTGTAAGTATCAATACTATCCATAACAGTAACCCAGACACAATAGAAATTTTATTTTATTTTTATGACTGCTTTAGCTGTTCACTGCCATGAATATTCAAGCAAATGAATAATGTAATATGTAATCGTCAATATATTGTAATCGGCAACAATTGGCTTGATCTAGCCCAGGACAGGCAAGTTTTTGTAGAAATAAAAGCTTTTTTTTATGTATTAACTAGCGGCCGCCCGGGACTTCGTACGCGTTGATAGATCACCATGTCACCTTTGAGTTATACATATGTATTTAGATTTATTTAATTGTCAATATAATATTTCAGAAGTCATACACAGCAACAATTATGCCCCAGTTGAGGGTGCAGGGGAAGGCGGGAGGCCAGTGGTGCTCTCCCAGAAGGAACTGATCACCGCCCGCGAACTGTACTCGCTTCACTCATACAACATACTTGTTAGCGATAAGATATCCATAAACCGAAGTCTTCCAGATGTCAGAAGTGATAGGTAAGATGATTGTAATCTTTTGATTCCAATTGGTTAGGACATTTGATAGTTGAATCAAATGATTTTTTGTATACAGAAATATTATGATCCCATGCTTCTACTGCATGCTTCTACTCAATGCTGTTACTTGTATTTCATGTTATGTTGTAATGTTAGATGGTCACCACACCAAAGTCACAATATGTACATGAATAAAGATATTTTTAATCAATAAACAAACTGTTTCTGCCATTAATGAACATTGTATAAATGTATCTTTCTTTCTTTCTAACCAAATATTTTTTTCATTTCAGTTGCAAAGAAATTGAGTACAACATAGATAATCTCCCAACAGCAACAGTAATCATAGTATTCCACAACGAAGCCTGGTCAACACTTATGCGAACAGTAATGTCAGTCATATTACGTTCGCCACCTTCACTCCTAGACCAGGTAATTGATTTTTGGGTTTCTTTTAGAAGCATAGCTTAATAGTTTAGTAACTAAACTAAACTAAACTTTAGTTAACCCTATGCCTGTCAGTTGGCTTATATTTTGAAATTTATTGCACTGCAAAGACACACAAAAAAGGCACACAGAGCCAACTTAGTGCCATAAGGTTTTTTTTTCTCCACTCACAATTGATTTTCTCCTTACAGATTATTTTAGTAGACGATGCTAGTGATAGAAGGTATTTGGGCAAAGAATTAGATAATGCAGTGGAAAAATTAGAGAAGGTGTCAATATTGAGGAGTCCAGATAGAAAGGGACTGGTCAATGCCAGGTTGATGGGCGCGAGGACTGCTACTGGGGACGTATTGGTTTTCTTGGATGCACATTGTGAGGTAAGTTTGATTTTGTTTCTATCTACAACCAAAGATTTAACTGCGCACCTCGCAGCCGTGACGTCACATTGACGCTCTGGCACGGAGGTGGGTAAGTGTGAGGGAAAATCGTATTCAACCGAGGTGCGCAGTTAACTCGATTGGGTTGTTAATTGATCTTTAATTCAAGCAAGTTCAAGTACTATCCGTTCGCGATAAGTAAGCCGAAGAGCGATATGATGTCACTCGAAGGGAAGCGTCTATAACTATAGCAAACTATATTGAAAATATTTTTTATTTATTAATTGATAAAAATTGTGTATTTGCGTAAAATAAGACACATTAATTGCGTTTAATCGCGGTTGGGGGAGGGGGCGCGCATTCCACGGACCGGCAAACTTAGCGCGAACAGGTACAAGTTTTTATAATTTTCCATAATGTACCTCTTTTGGAATTTCAGGTTACCAAAGGCTGGCTGGAACCATTGTTAGATCGCGCTGGCAGCGACGACGTATTTATCTGCCCGCACATAGATCTTTTATCAGAAGAATCGCTGTCCTATACCAAAAGTATTGACGCACATTGGGGCGCCTTCAGCTGGCGGCTACACTTCCGTTGGCTCATGCCAAGCAGCGAAGTCATGAAGAAAAAGTCCGAAAATCCTTCGAAACCTTATCCTACGCCTGCGATGGCTGGAGGCCTGTTTGCGGTAAGGAAAAGTTTATTTTGGCGACTGGGGGGCTACGACGAAGGCATGGTGATATGGGGCGCGGAAAATCTCGAACTATCTTGGAGAGCTTGGCAATGCGGCGCCCGAGTTGAAATCACGCCTTGCTCCAGAGTAGGCCATATTTTTAGGAGGCACAGCCCATACAAATATCCCGGTGGAGTTTCGAAGGTTCTGAATTCGAATTTGGCTCGAGCGGCGACAGTGTGGATGGACGAGTGGGCGGACTTCTTTTTTAAATTCAACCCTTCGGTTGCCGCGATTCGTGATCAGCAGGAAGTAGGGAGTCGAGTGGAACTCCGTAAGGAATTGAATTGCAAGAGTTTCAAGTGGTATTTGGAGAATGTGTGGCCTCAACACTTCTTTCCGACTGAGGAGAGGTGGTTTGGGCGGGTTAGGAACGATAGAGGCGGTTGCTTAGGGGTGTCCTCTGGGACTCCGGGCCTAGGGGGGCCCGCTGCCGGTATCGATTGCGGGACGGACATGGAAATCGATAGAATGATAGTTTATACACCAGAAGGCAGGGTTATGGCTGACGAAGGACTATGTTTAGAGCAAGGTAACGGACGAGCTGTTTGGAAAAGCTGTAGCGATAACCCTAAACAGGTGTGGGAGCAAAAGGGACCACGACTGAAAACCAAGGGCGGGTTGTGTTTAACGTTAGTGAAGGATACTAGCAAGGATAGTGTGGGTGACCCTTTGACAGCTAAGAAGTGTCTGAGCAAAGATGTAGGTCAAATATGGCATTTTGAACGTGTGCCTTGGCGATAAATGTGATATTTAGTTTAATAGTCTTCAAAAACAGATCTGACAAGCTTTTATTTAGTGTTAAGTATTGAGTTAGGGGATATTACAAAACTAAGATTAAATTAAAACGATCTGGTAGTGTTTCTTGCACAAAATAGCGAATGAAATATTATTATAAACATTATGAACACAAATTAGAAGCTTTTATTGCATTTATAATAAATCGAAAATTCTGGAGATTGTGGTTGTACAAATAGTTAGATCTTGTGAATTAAATTAAGTACACAACTGTGATTATTATTGTTAAATATGATCTTATTGCACTAAACAAACAATACACTAGATAGATAAATAAATAGCAGGAACACAATATGGGCATATACATTCAAAGAATGAAAAATTTAGTTTAATATGATTAAATACCGCGGTTTAAATGTGTTATGACTGTATATTTTTACAGTGGTTAAGTATTTAATGTGATAATAACTATTAACAGTTAGGAATAAGATAATTTAATCAGCATTCATTAAATACTCTTAACGGATTTTATCAAATTTGTACTGTGAACTGTCTCAAGTCTTGTCTGCATCAGGGCACAAGTTACTGCATTAGTAGGGAATTTAGTGCGAGAACCCCTCCACTTTGGTGTAATTTTTACAACAGTGATTCTTTGTTATGTTGTTGTATGGCTTATGTTGTTGTAATAGAGTCGATATTGGTGCTGTCGTAAATTTTAAAAGCTTAAATTTTGCGAACCCTGATGCAGACGAGGCTTTAGAACTTAAAAGAAATGAGAGAAAACTTTTTTAGTAATGGTACTTACTTATTATAAATCTCTTTTATTGCCAATATTTTTTGCAGTTATTTTTTTAGTGGCTTGATGCATTTCTTCAGGATATTTTTTTTTTGTGTAATTTTACTTCTAGTCTTTATTTTTTTATTGCTTTACTATCGCCTGTGCGACAAAACGTCGATTTATGTTTTAGGATATAAAGTACTTAATAGATTTTACTTATTTTGTAAACTTTATGTGACTTCTTATTTCTTTTATGTATATTTTGACGAGTTCTGAACTGATAATTTATGATTTTCTATTGTGTATTTTTATGCCGTCCTTTATATTCGATTGACCTTATTTAAAAAATACTTATTTTTATAAAATTCCAAGTTTTAACATTGTTTCCGTATCTTTATAGGTTTGTGAAAGTAACTCACTAATTGTATTTTAGTTTGTTTGTTATAAGATAACATAACAATGATAAGACTTGTATCATGTAACAGCCGATTTTTATAATAATGTCGTTTACAATAAACTTCAATGTTTTAATGCTCACAATGAAAGTACAATTTGCATTTATGAATTTTATAAACAACGTCATGTTAAAGTTAAAAATAAAAGTATTATTTGCGACTTTAGTCAAGTTTTTTTATTGTAAATTGCGTCGTAAAAAACTTAAATTAATAAACAACACTTATACACAAAATGTCTTTACACTTAAAAAAATTACAATAACACTCATCTAAATACAAAGTACAATATTAATGTTAAAATAGGTACGTATAATTTAAGTTGCGCGTACGCAGCTGCGTTACAATTATTGCCGTTGCATATAAAACAACGTGCGTCGCTGTGCCCTCTCGCTCTCTCTACAGCTACCAGAGCGAGACACACTGAGTCCACGCTGAGTCGTGGTACACACCCCCGAATGACGTCAATAGTGTTGCCAACTGTAAAAAAAATAATTGATTAACCTACATAAATAAAAATTGAAAATATTAATACAACTTTGTGTTAAAGGTGGCGCGCAAAATACACACGCCTGTTAAATTGTTTGTGTTGTCAGCTGTCAATTTTCGCCCTTACGTTCCTGTATTTCCTACTAAAAATGTCAATCAAATATTATTTGCCTTACAAAATATAAAAATCAAAAGGAGCGAATCAGTATGTAAAAAAAACTATGGCAGTCCAAAAAAGGTGCAATAATAATTCTGTTGCTGTAATGGCAACACTTTGTATGGGCACAGAAATCTCGAAAAAGCACGTGTTTTATGGAGACGTGCAAATGCATGCAAATAAATAAAAAACGGAAAGCGCAGCGTAGGACGTCCACCCACACAAGGTGGACCGACGACCTCATAAAGGTAGCGGGAAGGCGCTGGATGCAGGCCGCCACCAACCGGCCATTGTGGAAATCATTGGGGGAGGCCTATGTTCAGCAGTTGGACGTCCTATGGCTGAAATGATGATGATGAAATAAAAAACTTACAAGTCTTATCATCTGGCGTGGCCACCATCTTCAAGCACCGATACTCTATGGGTATCTTGCTGTCTGTGGTCGGTGGTGGGTGTCCTATGTTGTGCACCCACTGAGCCGTGACCCAGTTGGTCGGGTGGCACTCGTTAGGGTACCCTGGAGATGACGTCTGGTCCTGGTAGCAGCCAAGACAGCGCTGGGCGTAGCAGCTTTCTGATGTCACTGTAAAATTATAATATGTGTAAAGTTAGGGGCAAAAAAATTTGATTGCTAAAGTCAGTCAGAGGCTCACAGAGCTGTCAGACAGCTTAACTTTCCCTCGGGATAAACACGGCCCTCAATGATTGGGTTTTTATTGGCTGTTAAGCTGTAGAGCAAACTGGCTACATAGGAGTTGTAGCGGTGGGAACGAGATGTCCCGTTTGACTGCTTAGGTATGTTCGGATCAGAAATGAAATTGGTTGAGGAATCCAATGTCGTGATTCTGTGATTCATAATAACAGTTGTAATCATAAGAATTAATACAGCGACAATTTTTTCTTGTCACTGATATACGAGTACCTTTCTACGTTGTACTATATGGCAATACCTTATAAGGTCTTTACATTTTATCGATTAATTTAAATTAAATTTCTTGTTTCAGTAACGAGCGTTGACGCCGCATGTTAATGTAAATAGTATTTTTGCTTTCCACACTTGTATTTACACCTGACTGACAGCGCAAATTAATGTAAATCGTTTGAGAAAGTCCTTAATGACACCGATACTCGGGAACGAAAGCTGCGGGCAGTACCCTTCGCTCATCAAGGCGTTCGCTCCACAAAGCCGAAATCACTATACATGGACGTTCTCTCGCAAGTGAAATATTTACGTTAACCCTTAAACTTAATTAACGGTCTCCTTAATGACGTGTAAAAGTTATGGTATCTACAGACGCTTATTTAACTGATACCAGCCGAACAGAAGCAGATATCGCTAACGTAATTGGACTTGAGAATTTTGGCTTAAAATTCTTGCCATATTCAGCGGCTTTTGAAAATGACTGGCTATTATGAAATGAGGACTTGTCATTTTGGAATTTCTTATTCATGTAGTGTGTTGCAGATAGACAGCTCCAGCACAGAATAATAATAAGTATGGCTCCAGTCAAAATCAAGGGTGAATAGCGATGATTGTAACACCACCGCGATGTTAATAGCTATGTCTGTCTTGAGTTTCCCTGGCTGAGTATAGGTTTTCTCCTTCAGCTTGTGTGCGTTGAGCCTAACACGTCAGCGTGTTCTACACGTAATGACCGCTTCAGAGCGCAGTTTACGTTTGTTTTAACTGCCGCAATCATATGTCATTTTCTCGCGTTTCGCGCCATTTTGCCGGCCATCACGCCCGTTCCGTACAGTTGTGCGCGTACACAGCGCAATTATTGGAAGCGGAGAATCCGCTCTTGATGCTCCGGTATGCTGCGCTCATTCAACGCGATTGGCATTACGCTTTTAACTGAACCCGCCATAACTTAACCATTGCTTCATTAAAGACAACCCTTTTCCGAAGTAAATTGTCCGATAAAGGCTCAATTTACACGCTACAGATTCTAACGTTTTTTGTTTGGGTTCGGTGACTTCTTGAGAACAGTTAAATATTTCGTTAATTTGCGGAGAAATTTAATCAGTAATTGGTCTTACAAGAACTTTCTATAGGTCTTAAATACAGTCTCCTCTACCTGCTGATTGATTTCTGTACATAGATTTTGATATTTAAATTTTTTTATTGAGATATTTGGTCAAAAACAATTTGACCAAATATGTTTGCAATGCCTCTTTCACGGATTCTGTAGGTACGTGTTCTGTAGGTACGTGTTGAGAGAGATGAAGGAGATTTGACTCATTGATTAGGTATAAGTACTCTGATAAACCGCAGAAGCCGCATTTAGTACGGTGCGCCACCGATGCGTAAACCCTGATGGAGCCGAGAAAGTGGATGATAGGCGGCTGACACAATTGCGCGGGAGTTGCGTGTGACTACTTATTGTAATACCCCAGCTACACTACTCACTTCGACGCTTTGACGAAGTACCGAAGTTCTCCGAGTTAGTGTAGTCAAAATACTTTGGAACTCTTCGGGCCCTTTGACAAAACCAACAACTTTCTGAAGTAATACAGCACACATACTGGGGTGCTACCATGAAACGCTGTTTACGTAGTTTCGAGTCAATTTGTCACCCTTGCTCATGCTGGTCTGGCATCTCGCTTTATGTGACAGGGATGGCAGCATTCGAAACTTCAGATAACGTTTTTCGGAGTACCCCCACAGGCAAGGTTGCTCGAAGCGAAGTGAAGTGCGTGTCTACACTATCTTACATCGATTAGCTAACCAAGTTTTTGCGTTGCGCAGGCCTGAGACATTCGCACTTCATGCGGTTTATTGATTTACGTAACTATACAATACCTTGACTGTGTTCTGATCGGTTCGATTGACCATAAAATCATGATTTTTATGTAATGGACAAACATTAAACGGTTCGATGGCGTAAGCTAGGCAATTTGATGCCGAAAATTGAATTTTGATCGGAACTGCAATGATGTTGCGAGGGTTACTGCTAAAGGTAACATAGAGAGCACAAGTAACCGAGTAAAATTCAAAAATAAATAGCATACTCTTGACCCGAATGAAAAACTAAAACACCATTGGCTAAGTAAGCATAATGCTGTAAAGTAAACAAACCAACTGTTTAATCCTTTCTTTTGCAACAATTTGTATCATATCGCCTTATCTAACAACTGACCTAAATTCATAACGAGTGATGATCAACATAAAATCCCCGTCCCACGCGTGTTTTGTCGTGTCATACCTAGACACATTGACAATGTAAATACGATTGTCAACAGTGGAATAAATAAATATTTATCCAGAGGCGAGTTTCGAGCGAGATGAGTCGTTAAGCCATTGTTGAGGCTGCGCGGGCGCGCCGGTTACGATCCTCTCATTCATACGACAAATTGAATTAAACGAACGTGACATAACATTTGTTAGCATAGATCGACGCATAAATAATGTATTTCATTAAAGAAATCATTGACATTACGAATTTATTTGCATTTTTATAGGTTCATGTAGAACACTCAAAAATTTTAATAATTTATTAAAAACCGCTCTGAAATCGCTTGATAAACACACTGCATATTTCTTTGTCCATATCAAAGATTACACAGTTAAGCAAAAAGGAATTATTCCTAATCGTAGATAATACTAAACACCAAGATAATAAAAAACAAGGTAGAGTTTACAAATTCCGTAGCAACATTTAGTAACATCACTTACCATACGGTGTAAACACACCCACACTCAATATAAATATAAATAATAGCATAACGTTGCAGAATTGTTTTCACGCACACGGCACACGTCCTTCTAACAAACAATGTATATCAGACTAATTATACGAGTTAGCTACTATCTCCACGAGCACCTTATCGCGGGTCAGTAAATTATTTTGACGTTTGCGAGGAAAACAACGAGCAGCTTTTCAATTCGGTTCAAAAATAACATTTACGATTCATCTTCGCTCTTATTCACTCGCATTTCGTCTTGATTCGAGATCAATGTGGTTTGTACTATTTCTTGGCACGGATATCACTGAATTTTCAATTCGGATGGCACTCAGGCGCCCAAGGCTAGGATGAATGGCGGTATGACGTAGATTCAGTAAATATTGATCAAGCATGCGTCAATGTATTATTTGTGATGGGATACCACATTAATCATTTGCAACAAAAATACGTGTAGAGTTGTGTAAAAATAGATTTTCATGATAAGGATATCTTGACACATAAGTGGGTAGGGTAGGCACACTGACTAATCACTGTGAAACTATTTATAAGGTTTAGATAGAGTTATAGTTTACAACTAAGTATATCTATACCCTATGTTACTCTTTGTATGTAATTTACAATACAACATTAGTTCCTGATGTTACTGATGAGCAAAGCTCAACTTCATCTCCTCAGGCTGTTGCCGTGTAAGCATATTTCATACCTATTTAAAGGTGGTTGTATGTCTACAGATTCTGGCAATACGGCAATACAGAAGAAACCATGATGGGAATAGTTCCGATATTGTAGGTCTACTCGTACTCGGGGCAGCAAGGTTCTGGAGAGGAGGCCGCGTACCGGAAAACGCAGCGTGAGACGTCCAACCACAAGGTGGACCGACGACATCATAAAGGTGCTGGACGCAGGCCGCTACCAACTGGGTAACATGGAAAGCATTGGGGGAGGTCTATGTTCGGCAGTGGACGTCCTATGGCTGAGATGATGATGATGATGATGACTCGTACTTTAGAAGTTCCATCCTATCCATTTTCCGTGCATGGTTTTTCTTTTTACCACATTGTGCTTATTTATCATGCTACGAATATCTCATACAAAATGTATGTAGTTATTTATACAGTGTGAGTCACGTTAAAGTGTACATATGAAAATAGACGAAACAAGACCTATTTTTATCGACAAAAAAGAGGTCAAAAAATTTTTGCGATTTTTTTTAAATTTTTTATAGAATTTTTTTTCTTCCAATTACTTATTGTAAAGAAAACGTAATAACTTTTAAACTAAGCGGTATATCCTAATAAAATAAAAACAGTAATAATGCTAAATAACAGGCGATACTATAAAAATACATAAAATACACAAAAAATGCCAACAAATAATAAAAAATTATACTTTTTGAAAAAAATCTGCTTTTAAATTCGTGTTTTTTTGGTTATTTGATAAATTTGTCCAAAAAATGCCCCTATAACCGGTGGTTTTTATTACTTTGTATTATTCTCTATCGTATTACCTTCGTAAAACCAAAAATTGCATGTCCCTATCCCTATCACAACGTTTGCAATGATCGTTTGAACTAAGCCTCTCCGGGCGCGCCATTCAACGCTTCGTTAACAACGAAACTGAAAATGGCTCAAGATTTGTAATTTTGATAAAGACAAGTTAGATTTTAAATAAAAACAAAAGATTTCGAAGTAAAATAAGCATTTTAGTTAAAATTAAAATTGTCTCTACCTGTAGCGGAGAATAATGTTGTGGCAGGCCTTTGTTCAAACGATCATAGCAAATGTTGTGATAGGGATAGAGACATGCGAGTTTTGGTTTTACTAAGATAATACGATAGAGAATAATAGAAAGTAATAAAAACCACCGGTTATAGGGGAATTTTTTGGAGAAATTTATCAAATAACCAAAAAAACACGAATTTTTAAGCAGATTTTTTTCAAAAAGTATCATTTTTTAATATTTGTTGGCATTTTTTGTGTATTTTATGTATTTTTTTAGTAGCGCCTGTTATTTAGCATTATTACTGTTTTTATTTTATTAGGATATACCGCTTAGTTTAGAAGTTATTACGTTTTCTTTACAATAAGTAATTGGAAGAAAAAAAATTCTATAAAAAATTAAAAAAATATCGCATAAAAATTTTGACCTCTTTTTTGTCGATAAAAATAGGTCTAGTTTCATCTATTTTCATATGTACACTTTAACGTGACTCACACTGTAGATGCGTACTTGTGTATGTAAAATACATTAATTCAGAATGTCCGCTAAAATCGGGTGGGTAGTGACAAATGCTCTCAGACTGCCCGTTAATTAAAACCATCCGATTGATTTGAATAGTTTAAAGTATTTAAACACATTTAGGAATATTCATATAAGCCGGCTCTTTTCAAGACTCGTTCGGTCTTGCATGGATATTGGTAGCAAACGTAGCAAATGTTAATCAGTCATACATATAAGGATAAGTTGCTTAATTTATTTGTAGAAAGTGATAATAATTAATTGCAATAGCCTTGTAGTGGTCTATTTTAATCTATCGCTACGATCATATTAAATGTCCAAATAAGCATTTTACACAACATACTAATTTGTCATCTACAATTTATTGATAAATATATGGACGAATATCTACGCGCTATTTTAATATGCATAAGAACAATTCTTACAATAGGTAACTGATATTCGATCATGTTAGGTAGGTATATGTATAAATGATTTAGTTTCACAAACATTCGATGATAACAAAAACAATGCAGTGATATGAAATACGTGATTAATGTTAAGATATTTATACTCGGACTTGTTCACGATTTATTTTTATTTCAAGAGATAGGTAGGACTTAAGCATATCTGAAAAAGATTATCTAGACGTTTAAGTATGCACGTTTAATATTCACAATAAAGATTCCAGGATTATTATTTCTGGTCAAATTAGTAGGATAATTAAACTGAAGCACTCTACTCAAGCCATCGCTGCCAAAATGATCTATAGAACTAGTTCTATCCCATTCCATGTGATTTTATTAGTTGACATTGTTTTTCTATAACAAAGAGGCACTAAATAAGATCAAAGTATCCACAAATAAGCCATATACGGCTCTCCATGAATTTTTACTTTTCTACATTGTAGGTATTCCAGCGCTTACGGTCTTACATTGCTGTAAATAATACTTTCGACAATGCAGAACAGGAATAACAGCACGCTTCATCGGAGGGAATAGTCATGTCACTTCCTAAGTCAGAAGATCTGCTTCCAAATAGGGGTCTTAAAGTGGTATCATGTTACCGGAGCAAGAACTTGCGTCGTCTGTAACGCCGCCTCTACACGTTTAGCTTGGGTATTGGACCAAATGATTTGCTCCAACGTACTCCAAGTCCAAATCACAGAGACCGTAGTTTACAATATCTGCATTAGTGATTGGATTAAGATGAATGTGGAATCTATTGTAGCGTGTTAGTAGGGCGGCACGAATCAATAAAATGTACCAAAAAGGTGATTTGTTAATATTCTAACGTCTTCTCTTAACAGACAATAACATTCGAACCCACATCCTTTCGCTTGCCGGGCAAATGCTCTAACCACTAAGCTATGGAGACGTTTGACACATACATTCCGACAGAATAGAGATTACACGATGTAGGCCAATTCAATATAATTATGGTGGCAATATTTAACAATCGGTTAAGAGGAAACTGTTTCAATAGATATTAGCATTTGATGAATTCACGAAAAACTGGCTCCATTTGGTTATTTGCGTGGATCACCAACGACCAATAACCGCCAAGTCTGCCTTACTCTAGAGGCGGCTTAAGGTTGAAAGGGATTGTGTCGAATAAACATTGTACGTGCAAAATACTGGTCGAGATCGCGTCGCGTCGAGGTCGTCTCGAGCACACGCCACGCTCGTCGCGCCGTGTCGGCATGCGGGCAACTTGGATACTATCGCGGAGATTTAGACCCTGATGGAAACTGTTCACGCCTTGTTTTAGGTCACACTCGAGACCTTTGATGGATGCACTAAGATGGACTTTCACACATTTCAGTGTCCTAAAACCGTAACAATGTTGTCAAGAGGATACGTAAGCTGTTGTTCAGCTTGAAGTTTATGGCAGCACATAAAGTCTGACATCAGAGTTGTAAATGTCCAAACGAAAGCAAGATTTACAATAATTGTGTAAAGACAACAAGACAACTACTTTTTAATAATGATATCGTTGAGTTATATCACTTGAGAGTATAATAAAAGGAACAAGACGCCGACTGACATCGTTATCAAGCTTAAAAGTAATCTTGCCGATTAGTAAGTTTCTGTGCATCCATTTCTTGAAAATGCACAGGAATAGAAAGATCATGTGATTACCCGTGAAACTGCGAACGAATGGAATACTAAACACAATCTGGTGTCCACATTACGGTATCATCAGACGTGTAGATATTACTCGAGCAAAAACCGTGTCATCAATTCATACGCCGCTCGGGCAGAGATCCAGTGCATCGATAGTTTTTCTAACGAAGATGAATAGTGGTCAACCGTAGCGGATACCTACAACAGATTAGATTTCCCATTTCGCTTCGAATTTGTAAGGTTGCTGCTCTAATAAACATCATCCAATTAAATCTGGTCTCTATTACGTGCGCCCTAAGACTAAAGAGTCCTCTCTAACATTATGTTGTTCCCGCAATTGATCATGCCCCTATCCGTTGCCGAGATCAGATAACGACGTTCCTTGTACCGGCGGTTTATCGCCACAAATCTTTGGCTTTTAAGCGTTTTGAGTGTTATAATTCAAGAGCGGCATAGCTTTCACTCAAGAGGTCCAATTAATTCTTGACCGATACATTAACCGTTCGATAAATTTCTCGAAAAACGGCGCGTCGATAACGCGAACGGGTTCGGAACCCCATCAGGAGATTAAAAAGGTTTTATTTATCTTGGACAATTTGTTAATGCCAGTATTCTCGTCTTCCGGTAGCTGTGTAATTGAATCTTCTGGTTTGGGAGATTTATGAGGGTCGTTTGGCCGCGCTACCGTCCGATTAGCGGCATGAATCTCACTAAATTTAATTTGTGTTTTGCGCCGCTCCTTAATTGATATTACGTATATTAATAACATTGACATCTAGTTCGTCCGTTATCAAAGTATCAAGATTCTTAATTTAATTACTTACATGGCGATGGATTGGAAGATAGATTTCTCACGCAACTAATGCTGTTATGTTACAAAAACTATCTTAGAAATAATCATGATAATGTGGATATAAATTTTGTGCCACAACGAGACTGGTGGGTGGTAGGGTTCGATTCTGTTTTAGTTTTTGCAGCATCTC